CGGTGTCAAAGATGCCCCTCAGCTCTTCTTCGCTGAGCTTGATCTTCTCGTAGTACTCCTCGTCATGACCCTCTGCGCATCCCAGCTGCTCATCAAACTTCTTCCATGCCTTTGAGAGCTTCCGCGGCAGCTCATAGAGTTTGAAACCCGTTCCATCGAAGCTACTCTTTCCAAGAGACCCCAGCCACCACCGTGTGATCTTGTGAAGCGTCTCTGGATCGTCAAAGCTCTCTAAGCACCCAATCTTTCTTTTGAGCAAGCCCAGGAAGTTTTTGTCGACGTACGTCCCTCCTCCCAGCTCCCCGGAACTGGCTGAAACCTCACGCACCTCGTATGATGATCCACCCTCGACTTTCTCGTGCACCACCAAGTCGATCGTCCCACCACCAACGTCCACGGTGAGAAACTTGTCACCATTGCACAGGATTGCCGTGTCTTTGAGCTGCTTCTGGCAGTAAAACGACGCTGCCTCTGGCTCGAGAACTATCTTGAGAGGGAATGAACTCGCCTCGGAGCTGGAGCAATGCTTCCCCTTCACGATCCCTGCATTCTCTGCATAAATCTCCATCTTGCGTTTGGAAGCATCGCTCCAGATCGCAGGCACGGAGAGACACCAGGCAACCTCTTCTCGGAGCAGGCACGAGCCATACTTTTGCCGGAGATGCCCGCCAATAAACTCGGAGATGCAACCGAGATAATCCACTATGAGCTTTTCCGCAGTCGCCCAACCCGGAAGAACCTCCAGCATACTCTTCGCGAGCTCGCCATCTTCGAGAATGGGCTTGAACTTGGACACTAGGAGACCCACCTCGCCTTGGCCAGTGCTGGAGGAAACCTGGAGAGCTTCCGAGTAGGCTTTGAGCGCGCTCCATCCCCAAGCAAGAAGCTCTCCCGCTGGAGAGTAGAACAAGCTGGTCTGCGTCTTGCAGTAGGGCCTGCCGGCATCTGGCCAGTCGTAGAAGCTTTGCACATCATCCGGATCAGAGCGATGCGCGAACGAGAAGCCGGAAAATGTAGTCCCAAAATCTAAGCCCACTATCACCTTTGGTTGGGAAGAACGAGAGCTGGAAGCCATAGCCGCACACACCGCTACCACCACCGAGAAACTATCAGCCGATTCTCATTAATTACAAGTCGAGGAATTTAGGATCCTTATGATCTTTCTTGGAAAACATAAAAATGTAGGCTCTCCTTCCTGCCTATTTGTTTTCTGGAAAAGCTCTGGCCGATCTTTTCATCGCAGCCGCTTGAAAACGACCATCTTAGCATTATTTTGTTCTTCCAAATTCTCGCTCTCTTTTTTTTTGTGTGTGTTCATCCTTTTGATTCGACGACGATACTTTGGGGAGGGGATTTTTACTTCTCAAACCAACATCCCTGTAAATTCGACAAACCAAATCCCATCGTCACCATTCCTGTACAAGGGACTCGCCAATGAGTAGGTTCTAATTTAAAGCGCTCTTCTTTGTTTGCTAGATTAGGGTTTATCCAAGGCTGTGTAGGGTTTTGCGAGGAGCGGCGAGGAGGGATTCTGGCGCTTATGCGGCGTTCGCCGACTCCATGGCGGTAAATCTCTCTGAGGCCTTTCTCTATACTCTAGCGCCGGATCCAGAGCCAAGAAAGAAGGCGGAGCTCTATCTCGCCAACGCCTCGGCCCAGCCCGGCTATGGCGTCGCTGTTCTCCAGCTTCTTGGCGAGGCGGCGGTGGACGATCAGGTGCGGCAAGCGGCGGCCGTGCATTTCAAGAACCATGTCAAGTTCCGATGGAATCCCGGCGAGCTGGAGGCGAATTTGCGGATCCAGGACAGCGAGAAGGAGCAGATCAAGGGGTACGTGGTCAGGCTGATGCTCAGCTCGTCGCCCAAGATCCAGAGCCAGCTGAGCGAAGCTCTCGCGATCATCAGCAGCCATGATTTCCCGAGCAACTGGAAGGGGCTCCTCCCGGAGCTTGTTGGGAGTTTGTCAACTTCGACAAGCTACACTACCATCAACGGGATCTTGCAAGCTCTCAACTCCATCTTCAAGAAGTTTAGATATGGATACAAGAGCGTGGAGCTCTACACCGATCTCAAGTACTGCCTGGATGGTTTTGCCGCGCCGCTGCTGGAGATTTTCACCAAGACCGGGGCACAGATCAAGGCTACGCAGGATCCTGCGACGCTCAGGCCGCTGTTCGAGTGCCAGAGGCTGTGCTGCCGGATCTTCTACTCGCTCAACTCGCAGGAGCTCCCGGAGTTTTTTGAGAACCACATGAGAGAGTGGATGGACGAGTTTGAGTACTATCTCATGTACTCTAACCCGGTTCTGGCGGAGAGGGATGCCGAGAAGGAGAGCGTCGTGGATCAGCTCAAGACTGCCGTTTGCGAGAACATAAACCTTTACATGGAGAAGAACGAGGAGGAGTTTAGAGACTATCTCCAGAGATTTGCGACGGATGTTTGGAACCTGTTGATGTCTACGTCGCTGCAGCCAGCGCACGACCGACTGGCAATGTCGGCTATGAAGTTCTTGACGACGGTCAGTAAGAGCGTGCATCATGCGCTCTTTAGCGGCGCGGACACCCTGAGACAGATTTGCGAAAGTATCGCCATCCCAAACGTTAGAAGTAAGTATATTTCTCTCTTAGTTTTATTTTTTTCTTCATGTCGAGCTCACGTTTCTCTGCTGCTTTACAGTTAGAGCGGAAGATGAGGAGCTTTTCGAATTGAATCCTCTGGAGTACATAAGAAGAGACATCGAGGGAAGTGACACGGATACCAGAAGGCGTATAGCTTGCGAGCTTGTGAAGGGGCTTATGCTGCGGTACAGGGACCAAGTTACTGGTTTGGTTTCCGGCTACTTAGGACAGCTAGGTGCGAGTTACTCTGCAAATCCGACAGGGAACTGGAAAGACAAGGATACGGCCATCTACTTGATCGTCGCCTTGGCACAGAAGCAGCCTTTGACTGGAGCTGTGACAACTGATCTTGTCAACGTTGAGCAGTTCCTTGCGTCGCAAATCAACCCCGAGCTTCGAGGCTCAACCGATATCCTCGTGGCTGATGCGCTCAAGTTCATCACGACCTTCAGGAGCGCCGTGCCGAAACCGGTAGTCTTGGAACTGATGCCGCAGATCATCCAGCTCTTGGTCAGCTCAACCAACGTGGTGCACTCGTATGCTGCTGGGTGTGTGGAAAAGCTGCTACTGGTGAGAGACGGAGGAGTGCCACGCTATTCTTCGGCAGACCTCGCTCCCTTTCAGAGCCAGCTCCTGGCCAACGCGCTCAGTGCCTTGCAATTCCCAGACTCTCAGGAGAATCCCTACGTGATGAAGTGCATCATGAGAGTTCTCTCCGTGGCGGAGGTTGGCCCGATGTCCGTGAAATACTTGGACGACCTCGTGGGGATTCTCGGCAAGGTATGCAGGAACCCGACCAATCCGACGTTCAACCATTACATCTTTGAGTCGGTGTCCGTGCTCGTGAGGAAGGCTTGTGAACGGGACCAAGAAGTGGTGATGGCCTTCGAAGGGAAGCTGTTTCCGGTGTTTCAGTTCATCCTCCAGAACGACGTTGCCGAGTTCCAGCCGTACGCGTTTCAGATACTTGCGCAGCTGATCGAGTCGAGGGGCCAGCCTATTCCCAGGGAGTACCTGGTGATTTTTCCGGTGCTGATCGACCAGAGATTCTGGCAGAAGTCGGCCAACGTTCCTGCCATCATCCGGCTTCTCCAGGCCTTCCTGCTCAAAGCACCTCGGGAGATAGCACAGGGAAACCAGCTGCAGGAGGTCTACAACGTTTTCAGTAGGCTGGTGTCCCGGAAGAGCACGGAGGACTACGCATTTTACATCGCCAACGCGATGGTGGAGAGCCTCAGCCAGGACTTGCTCATGCCGATCGTCCCGCATCTATGGACGGCCTTCTTCTCCCGGCTCATGGGAGAGCACCGCACCGTCAAGTTCCTCAAGCTGCTGGTGCTCTTCATGTCGCTCTTCACGGTGAAGCACGGCCAAGCGGTGCTGGTCGACTCGGTGAACAAGGTGAGCCCGACGCAGCCGCGGCTCTTCGTGGACGTGCTGCAGCAGTTTTGGATCCCGACGCTGAGTTCCATCTCTGGAAGCATCGAGACGAAGCTGTGCGCCGTGGCATCGACGAGGCTTTTGTGCGAGTCGGCTCTACTTCTCGCGGAGGATCAGCTCTGGGGGAAGCTGCTCAACAACGTGGTGGTGTTGCTGGTGAGGCCCGAGGAGGAAAGAGTGGCGGAAGAAACCGATGTTCCGGAGCTGGACCAGGTGACCGGGTATGGTGGAGTCTACGCGCAGCTCCACCACGCTGGGAAGAAGGACGATGATCCTCTCAAGGAGATCAAGGACGCCAAGGAGTACCTTTGCCACTCGCTCAACAGGCTCTCGATGCAGTACCCGGGCAAATTCCCGGGAGTGATCCAGCAGCATCTCGACGCAGGCAACCAGGAAGCGCTACGCCAGATGTGTAACGCGTACCGGACTACAATCGTCTAGAACTCGAAACGAGGTACTCGAAAGATCTTTGGTATTTTAGTTCTCGTTCTCGTCATCGTTTTTCTCTCTCGCAGATAGCGAGTTGTTGCTAGTGGAATTGCCAGCTACAATCGTCTAGAACTCCAGGTACTCGAAGATCTTAGCGTTCTCGTCATCGTTTTGTCTCTCGCAGGTATCGGTTCTTCGAATTGTTGCTAGTGTGGGGATTGTTCTTCGAGCTTCTTGGCGTTTGGATCGGAGTGAGTCGTCTGTTTCCATCGATCGAGTCGAGCTTCCTTTGGATCGAGCTTCTTGTCATTTTGATCGGATGAGTTTGTTTGGAATGAATGGAAAGAAAGACCAAAATTTAAATCGTTCGAATATTATTTGTCGCTCGAGTTTTTAAGTTGTAGGGTTCTTTGAATGTGGTTCGAAACCGGTGAGCTCGAGTTTAATGTTTTAGGGTTCTTCAGTGGTGGGATCCCAATTCGCTCGATCGAGTGACGGGGGAGCTTGGATTTCGATGGCGAGCAATGGCGCGGCATCGTCATCGAGCGCGACAGCGACGACGACGGTGACGCTGCAACAGCCGCGGCAACTGGAGAGGCTGACGCTGCGCCTGGCGCCGCGGCGCAAGAAGAAGGTGAGTTGGAAGGCGGACACTGTCGACAACGAGTTCTTGGACAAGAAGAGCTCCAAGATTTGCTGCATTTTCCACAAGGAGGAGGAATTCACGGACAGCAGCAGCAGCGAAGACGATGGCGATCCGGGCGATGAGAAGAAGAAGATGAAGAAGAAGGAGAAATTGGAAAGGAAGAGCTCGACAATGGATGGATCGTCCTCTTCCAAACACCATGAACACCACGAGTGTTGTAAGAAATAAGCTAGTCTCGGCCGTCGGTTGTTTCGAATCCAACGGTCCTCGTGCTTCTTGACGCCAAGGGTTCTGGTGATGGCGATGGCGCTGGCGCGCGCCCGGGTAGCGCATTTTGCGAGAGGCGCGGCCGGGATCGCGCAGCACAGGAGGTAATGTGATCCATTTCGATCGATCGATTCTTCGTTGCTGATGGAAGCTAGGGTTTATCAGGGGCAATACGACCTCTATTCACGACTTTGATCTGTTTGGCAAAATGAAAGAGAGCTCGGGGCGCGTCGCCGTGGATGCGTAAGTTCTCTTTTTTTTACGGAAACTCCATTGGTTTCTTTCTTTTGCTTGAGGTTCTTTGTTTCTCTTGAGTTTTTAAGAAAGAACGTGAGCTCTTTTGTTTTCCTTCTTCTATATTTTTTGCTTTGAGAACTTCTGTGTTTATTTGTTTCTCTTGCGTTTTATGATTAGTTTGAGAACTCGAGCTCTTTATTTTCCTTCTTCTAGATTTTTTGCTTTGAGAACTTCTGTGTTTCTTTGTTTCTCTTGCGCTTTTTGAGAAGTTTGAGAACTTGAGCTCTTTTTATTTCTTTCTTCTAGATTCAACTTCGTTTTCTTTGTTTCTCTTGCGATGTTTGAGAAGTTTGAGAACTTTAAGCTCTTTTTTTTTCTTGTTCTAGCTATGGTGTTTTTTCTTTATGTTAATCTTTCTCACTTCTGTGCAGACTAAGTGAGGAAAGCTTCTCGGTGGATCAGGTCGAATATTTCGATTCAATCATATGCCTTAGCAAGTTTGTCCTGTCATGGACTCCGAAAACGTTTGAAGAAATCACCCCCGAAAGGTCTGTTTTCCTTTCTTTTCCTTCGTGCTAGTTTTTTCTCTAAACTGAAACGATCGTCTTTGCAGCTTGGCGATTGTTGATCTACTGACTCCAACTCCAGGTTCTCCACTGAAACACTCCAGCTCTCGCAAACTTCTCTAAAGTTTTCTCCATCTCCACAGAGATCTTGGTGCTCGGAACCGGGAACACGACGAAGTTTCCCAGCAAAGAAGTGAAGGAGTTTCTTAAATCCAGAAATATCAAGATCGAATCCGTCGATTCGGTACGTCTCGTAACAATTCCATTTTGTCCTCACTCGCAAAGTTTTTCTCCCTTCAAACAGAGGCATGCTGCCATCGCATTCAATTTCATGAACGTCGAGTGCCGCGACGTAGTGGCCGCAATGCTGCCTTGCGGCAAAGAACCCGAGCGCACCCATCCTTTCTAAGAACTTGCCACACTCCTTCGTCGCCAAAAGGGGCGTTTGCTCGATCCAATCCATCAATCACTTCAAGGATTCAGACAGTACCAGAGAATCGATTTTTATTTTTCTCCTGCCTTTTGCACACTCGTCAACTCTGCAGTGCCAAAACGGTGGAGGAAAGGAGAGAGAATGCAAAAAAATGGAGGAAGAAAGCTTAAGTTACAATATAAACTGGCCCGACGCGTTCGTCTCGAGCGAAAGGAGAATGGGCAAAACAAAAAGAAAAACAAGGAACAAGCCACGTACGGTGGACTGGTGCGTTGACTGGTGCTGGGATGGCGTTGGCTTGTCGCCCTGGGGCGCGACAGGGAGAATATCCCGCGGGAATACTTAATTCCCAGCAAGAGTGGAACACGTTACAAAGTCTTCACGCAATCTAAGTGAGGTTGCCGCCGTTGCTTTGGACAAAACAAAACAAAACAAAACAAAGAGATGGAAATCGAAATCCCGAGCTCGAAGTTAAGGTTTAAAGTCTACTAATTAAACTGGTTGGGCATTTGCAACGTCTTGGCTTTAAAGGCAAAACATTCGTACCAGCATTCCCCAAAAGATCTACCGGGGCAAATACGATACGTCAGCCACAAGACGAGAGACGGTCATCAAGGGTATCATTCTTTGGTGTGAATGCGAAGAAAGAAAGAAAGAAAGAAAGAATCGCACACATTTGCATTGTCCCCCTTGGTTGCACAAACCATGTAAAAAGTATATGATATGCGGTCCACATATAAATTATCGTGCGCATGCATGGTACGCATTATAGCGGACACAACCGGATTTTCTTTCCATTCTTTTTCCCTCTTTTTTTCTCCTTTTGTCAGAATCAAAGTGTTTTTTCTTTTTTGGCTCTCGCATTGGTCGTGAGTGAGCGGACGAGTGGCCGGAACGGGGTTGAGCGACAATTTGATAATTGGGCCATCATAGGTGAGAAATGGCCACCGTTTCCCAATCAAAATAAAAATGGAGTAAGAGGAGAAAAAATGGGCCACAGAAAAGATGTGGATTTTCCCGGGCCCGCCACCAAACAAAGCCCGGGCGTCATCCGTGACATGTCCACCGTCATCCGTGACGCCACCCTTCACTTGGCGTGCACGGCAGGCCTCCCTCACGGGCGCACGGGAGTGGACGGGCCACGCCCGTCGGCCCGTCACGGCCGCCAACTGTGTGCGAAACGACGTGCGGAATATTTCATATGATGCCGTGTAGAATATTCCCTGCACCGCGGCGAATATCCGCGCGTTTGACACGAGGTGTGCTGCTCTGCAGTAGCTTGCCTCTGGTGCGAAGCAACCGTGGGAGGCTTGTTTTTACTTTTTTTCCACTTCGTTTGTTGTTGTCCATCATCATCACTCATATATCTTGTGCATGTGCTATTGAGGCAGACGAGGCAAAAGTGGATAGAGTTTTGTTGACACATCAAAGTGTAGAGACCAAGCCAGTGTCACGGCGGTGACACGGGCAGATTAGATTCTACTCCAATTGGGGCCGATCTTTGCATCTCGAGTGCAAACAATTGCCCCCATTGTACAGATGGCTCTAGGGAAGAGAGATAAAGTTTTTGGTCGTATTAGAGGTTCTACCAACATGCCAAGACACTTCATTGTGCCGAGCCAACGAAGGAACTTTGATCCAACAGCAACAGCAAGTGCAAGGATTTGGCGAGACTTTGTTGTTGTTGCTTGACAACTGGCGAGCGCTGAGAGAAACACCCACCCAAAAAAGAATTAAGCCTCTTGTCTTTCCACATCGTACAAAAGAATGTTGCCACCTTCGGGCAAATGCGAGCTTCCAAAGGCTTTCACCACGAGATCGCATATAGATCTCTCCTCTTTCGTTTTCAAGTTCCAGTCTCTGGCTAAGTGGAACATACAAGTAAAGTGCGCCACCTTTACAAGGAAAGGGGAGATGCATTTTTCATTTGGTCAACACGGCAGCCTTTTGCATTACAAGACTAATTTATATTCTCTTATTCTACGCGAAGATTCTCGCTCTCCATTGTAGTGTGTGTTGTTTTGTGTGAGGCGCATTATAGACGGGCTATATAGGAAGGGAGAAGTCCTCCAGAATCATTCACCCTCTCACTTTTCTTTTCCTCCGAGAGGAGAAATTGGTGTTGGTCTTTGGGGTCCGGCAAGTGCCGAAATGTTTGGAGGGAGCAATGGCAATGTTTGTTGGGTGGTCGGATGGGTTTGGACCCACAATTGCTGGTGTGAGGATTGAATGCACGAGCCCAGAAAAAAACCCAAAAGATTGGCGTGCTCCAGTGTGTATAGTCTGTGTGTGTGTGTGTGTGTGTGTGTGAAAGCAACGCAAACGCGGGAGAGAGACCAAATTGCAAAAGGGAGGAGCGATGGATGAGCGCTTGCTTGGCACTGAGTGTGCTTTTCGGGGCTTTGAAAGGCGACTAGACAGTGGAATGGATTGCGATTTCCATCCCTCAAATGGATTGATGGAGCTAGAGAGTTGTGGAGGAGATTGGGATAGTTTTTCCTTTTTTTTCTCTTCTTTATCTTGTCTCTTGCATCACGCTGCTGTCACCTCTGCTTTTCCTGCCCTAATCTTGGGCCGTTGACGGCTGTGACGCCAAAGGTGACGGAGCCCACGCTACGAGCGGGCGATTGATTCGAATTGGATCCGGGATTGCCGTTGTCTGTCCTCTCCGGGCAGGCAACAACGCATTCTTGTGCCCCGCCGGGAAAAATGAATGCCGTGGTTTTTCCTTGGCCGAATTATTGCACTGCTTGGCTTGCTAAATCCCAACAAAAAAAAGAAAAGAAAAACGGAGATGCTTCCAGTCAGGAAACGCCTCAACCCTAAAGAAAATCCATCCGCCACCCGACCGTTTTTTGTCGCGCGCAAATAAATTCAAAGGTCAAGGAATATCCCCCGCACGGAGGGACGAGAGCATATTCCGTTAAAGACCAGAAGTAATTCATCACTAGGTTTTTTACCGGCAAGCAATAGTATAAGTGGTAGGCTTTCTCGTAGTCCCTTGCTGTGGCGTGGCGGAGACTCCTGTCGTGGTAAAACGGAAAATGTACCGTGGGCACTTGGAGGGTTACGTGCAATCAAGGGGAAGGAGTTTGCTCACACGCGAGCGGGCAAGCAAGATAGAGATCGGCGAGAGCGAGATTCCATTTGCGCCAGGGGAATCATCCCGCTTGTTGGGGTGGCATCAAACACGGAATCTAGCTTAGTCTGCTGTTGCTTAACGAGGGAACCAGGCGAAAACATGCACCGTGCAGTTAGAGCCAATCCCTTAAAAAAAAGAAACCGCGAAAAAAAAAAGGAAGTATTATTTTAAAAATGGAAGGATGGAACACTCACAATCTATACGCCACTGCTGCCCCCTGCCAGGCTTTTCCCTTTGGGCTTTTGTAGCTTGGAAGATTGGGAACAAAAGTAACACCAAGGTGTGCAATCCAAGAGAAAAATGTTACTTTGAAGCAACCCCTATTAGTATATTCGCTTGGGGATCGATCTTTGCTCCATCCCCATCGATCAATCCATGCCAAGAACTTAGAATTCACGAAGTATAACAAACCTGGAAAGGCGTGCCACCACGGTCATTGTGTTTGTGTGTGTTGGAGCGATGATCCTTCCTTCCAGATCCAAGCTGTTACTTAGAAGCAATCGTCCAGATCTCTCTTCCAAAGTCTCGCTAGGGTTTCTTTTCTACCCGCGTTTGCTCACCAAACTTCCATAAACCCCTCACGGCAAACAAACATGTTGGACCTGTGTTCTCCGCGCCGGATATTCCGCGGCCACTCGGCCGGGAATATTCGCCGGCCGGGGGACGTTTGACCCGCGCCCACGTCAGCGTCAGGGGAGCAATTACCCGGGGCCGGTAAACCCCGGTTGTCAAACGTTGTAACGAATCTACGGCTCGCATGCTGCCACAGTGGCGGGGATATTGATGACCCCGTGACTGCCGTCCATGTCAACGCCGCCTAGACGGCCGAGATCTGGCCAGCTCGGCGGGAATAAAAAAGTACATTCCGTATGGTGGATCCGACGGCGCCCGCTGGAGGGTGCCATCCAACGGCCACCAGCCGACGGCAAAAGAAATGGCTTGTGTGTATAGTGTTGGCTATGGTGCTTGTCCTATATCGGGGTTTGTTGTGTATTCTTGTTTCCTTCTTTTTTAGGGCGTGTGTCGAAATCCTTGAGAGTCTTTCCGTGTTGCGGAGCGATCATAGGAGCCAGATCGCATTTCTTGCAAGCGGCAGTGGATGATTCCCTTACTCCCTCCTTTTCTTCCTCTTTTTGGCCGATCTTGAGCTTTTTTTGCTCGCAAGACGCGATTTTCCTGCCCTTGCCCGGAGGAAAGGATCAAGATGAGCTCCGGATTCCCGCGACGTGCCTGGCAAGAGCGCCGTGGATCGAAAATCCGCCTGGAGTGTTCTTGATCAGGGCGGGAATCTTGTCGCGGCGCTAGTAGCATTCGTCTCGAGGACGCTCATCGCCAATGAGGACGAGAAGGGGGAACTATCCATCGCCGACGGACGGCATAATCTTTAGCATCAAGCCATACTCTCACAAGCGCCAGCGCCAGGGATCCTTCGACGCCGCCGAGCGGCCATGCAAGTTCTCGCGCGTCGCCGGATCCTCCAAGAAATCCACCGCTCCATGCGCCTTCGATTTTGTCCCAGACGATCTCCTTGTCGACATCGCCATGGCGCTCGTCTCCACCGCCTCGTCGCCGGCCGATCTCTTCAACATGATGCTCATGTGAGTCTCGATCTCTCGAAATATCGCTCCTCTCGCTCGATCTCTCTCGAAACATCGCTCCTCTCGCTCTCCCCGCTCGATCTCTTCCGAAATATCGCTCCTCGCTCTCGATCTTTCCCCGACTCATCGCGCGCTGTGTGTTCTTCCAGATGCCGGAGATTCTGCGCCGCCGCGACGCATCCACAGGTCTTGGCCAGAGTATCGCCTCAAGCATTCGCTGTCAAGGCTGGGAGCTGGTCCGCGGGATCGCATCGATTCCTCAAGCAATGCGCCGACGTCGGCAATGTGGAAGCGCTCTACACGCTGGGAATGGTGAGTGAAGAGTAGCAATCAGTGTGAGAGAGAGTAGAGATCTCTTCTTCGTTCCATGCTTGGTTTTGGTTCCATAGCATAGGTTCCATGCTTGGCTTTGGTTCCTTAGTCGTGGATTCGCTGTTCTTCCTTCTCATGATAAGTGGTCTTTTGATGGGCAGATTCGCTTCTACTGCTTGAACAACAGCAGCGGCGCCTCATTGATGGCCAAGGCGGCGGTGGCGTCGCACGCCGCGGCGCTCCACTCCCTGGCGGTGATCCACTTCAATGGTAGCGGCGGGCGGCGAAAGGACAAGAACCTCAAGGCCGGGGTGGCGCTGTGCATGCGAGCGGCGTCGCTGGGTCACGTCGACGCCATCCGCGAGCTCGGGCACTGCCTCCAGGACGGCTATGGAGTTGTGAAGAACGTACTCCAGGGGCGGCGGCTGCTGCTCGAGGCCAACGCACGGGAGGCGGCGGCGGCGGTGGCGGCGGCCTTCCCCAAGAACCTCATGGAGCTGGCGCTCAAGCGGACTTCTCGGACAGGCTGCGCCAGCTGCCCGCATCACAGGTTCTTCACGCTGCCGCCGTCGACCAAGGCGGACATCTTCCAAAAGGCGGTCTTGGACAGCGCTGGGATCGTCGCTGCTGCTAGTGGTGGTGGTGGTGGTGGTGGCGCTGGCGGCGGCGCCACCAATGCGAGTGCAGCAAATGCCGTGGAGCGGCACCCGGTGTTCAAGCTGCTCCAAAACGGTGGCTGCGCGCTGCTGAGCGACTTCGGCTGCAACGTGCCCCCGGCCAAGGTGCACGTCGCCAACAAGTTTCTGGTGGAGTGGTTTGCGCTGCACCCAACGTCGGCGGCGGGGCTGCGCCTGTGCTCGCATGCAAACTGCGGGCGGCCCGAGACGAGGCGGCACGAGTTCCGGCGCTGCTCGGCGTGCGGCCGTGTCAACTACTGTTCGCGGGCGTGCCAGGCATTGGACTGGAAGCTGCGGCACAAGTACGATTGCATCCCGGTGGCGGACTGGGAGAACCGGGAGGACAGGCAATTGGACGGGGAGGAGAACCAGCGCGGTGGCGACGAGGCGGAGGAGGAGGAAGACGAGGAAGATGGCGATGACGACGAGATGGAGATTGGTCGCCAGGATAATCAACAGCCAGGGGAGGTGAGTCACGCGTACGATCTAGGAGGTGAGGATCACAGGTGAGACGAGCGAGAGATAGAGATCGAGAGAGAGAGGTGGGTTTTTTGGTTCTTCCCATCTTCTTCCTCCTCTGTTAGCTCTCGAGGCACGCACGCACACAACAAACTCGACACACAGATTGGATCGCCATCGCCATCGTCGTCATCGTCATCGACAAGAAGAGACGATCGATGGGGGGAATTTTTTTTTGCTCTCCCTCACACATGGAAACCGGGAAGGCGAGAGTTTTGTGTGTGGATGGATCCGTTAGTTGGGACTCTCGCCAAAGCGGTTATAGAGAAGAGAGAGAGAGAGAAGAGCTCTCTCTTGTTAGTCCAAAAGGAGGAGGCTAGCTCACACAAGCTCACAAGTTTGTTCTTTTCTCTTTGTGGTGTGAAGAAAAACAGTTTTTTCTCGTGTCATGTGGCCCGGAGCATATTCGAGGGGATATCCTTCGATATGGTATATTCCATGGACGCGAATATGCCAGGGGATTCTCTCTTTAGTAGTCTGTAACGCTCGGGGTTCTCTTGTAGTACTTGTCCCGCAAGAGGTTGGTCACGTTGTTACGTTGGCAGCCTTCCTCGATCATCCGCCTGTCCACCTTCTTGGCGAGGTGGTACTTTTGGCTCCTGCAATAGGCATCAATGAGCGCGTTGTAAACGTAAACGTTGGGCTTTTGTCCCGCCTTACGAAAGTCCTGTAGTGTTGGGTGCGTGCGTGAGAAAAAGGAAAAGAAATGCGCAGGCAGGAGAATCAAAATCCGGTATAGAGCATGGAACCACGGGAGGAAGTACTTCGGTCATGCTGCGGAGATGACCCAGGAAAGAGAAAGAAAGGATGGATCTTGTGAAGGACGAAGGAGAGCTACAAGGAATGAAATGAATGAGATGAATGAAAAGAGAGCTACAAGGAAAGTAGAAGGAGATGGAGCTAATGAAAGGAGAGCTACAAGGAAAGAGATGGAGCTTACAAGGAATGGAAGAATGAAAGGAGATGACGCTTAGAAGGAATGAAAGAGTGAAAGGGAGCTACAAGGAGAAAAAGAATGGAAGAATGGAAGGAGAGCTAAAAGGAACTTAGAAGGAGACGGAGCTTACCCGATAAATGTTCCTGGCTTGCTGCCACATGAGCTCCTTCCCGCAGGCTCGGATGAGCGACGCCACGACGTGAGTGTTTGGAACGCACCGCCGCTGCTTCATGTGCTCGTAAAGCCTCAGCGCTACCTCGACCTGCTTGGCGTTCTCGCAAGCCACCAGCAGCGGACCAAACGTAACTTCGTTTGGAGCGATCCCGGTTTGCTCCATCTCCTGGACGAGCGAGAGCGCCGCTTCCCAGTTCTTCGACTTCTGGCAGGCGACCAGGATCACGTTGTAAACCTCCCTGTCCAGCTTCATCCCCGACGACTTCACGCTGTGGAAGAAGAGCATCGCTCGATCAAACTCCCTGGCCGCGATGAGGCCGTTTAGAACCGCATTGACGGTGTAGAAGTCGGGCGCCACCCCGGACGCCTTCATCCGCGGCAGCAAGTCGAGGACGATCTCCCACTTCCCTGCCTTGCCGAGCGCTCGCATCAAAACGTTGTACGTGACGATGGTCGGCTTGCAACCGGACTCTAGCATCTCCTTGAAGAAGGTGAGAGCGACGAGCCAGCGTCCTTGCGTCGCGCAGACGCAAACCAGGCCTCTGTAGATTCCATCCGTCGCCTTGAGGCCCTGTGAGTTCATTCGCGCGTAGGCGTCGAGAGCCAAGTCGGCCTGGTTCGTCTGGACGAAGGTGCTCACGAGCAGGCAGTAAGTTCCAACGTTCTCGACGCATCCTTCCTTTTGCATCCTCTCCCACGTCTGGAGAACTCTCTCCAGCTTGTGGCCTCGCCCGTAGGCCGCCAGCATCGTGTTGTACATGGCGACGTCGGGCTTGAGCGAGCCATGCACGACGAGCTCGCTAAACATCCTGTGAGCCGACTCCCAGCCTTGGACGTGAGACAGCGCTCGCATGACGGCCGTATAAGTGTAGAGCGTCGGGGCCACCCGGTCGTGCTTCATCCTCTCGAAGATGGCGATGGCGTCGGCCTCGTCGCCATCTTTCATAAGTCCGGTGATGAGAGAGTTGTAAGCGTTGGCGTGGATACCTCTCTTCCTGTCGCTCAGCCATTCCAGGACTTTGAAGGCTGTTCTTCGTCGGCCAGCTCTCGAGAGCTTGATGACCAGCCAGGATCCTGTGTCCTTGGTTATCGCTCGCCTAAAGCTTTCTAGAACTGGAGCAACGGGATCGTCAGCTCCCAGCCTGTGAAGAGCGTTGTGAAGCCGCAAGAAATCATACTTCCCTCCAGCAGAAGTAGCGTAGCGGCGATAAATGGCTCCTATCAACTTCTTCGTGTCATCTGTTTGATCCGATAAGCTAATTCTACTCGCAGCTATTTGCCCCCGATCTTCTTCACAAGGAGTGAGATTTTTATCTGCCACTACACTGCTTTCCTCTCCCACAACCACTGGATTTTGCGCTGGATTCTCATAGAAACCGCTAAACATCCACTGGAAGTTCCCGGCAATCGCATTTCCGGTCGATGCTACGTTCTTGGCGTCTGCTACATTGCTAGCACGACCTAATTTCCCCCCTCTCCCCGCGTCTATCACCGATCTAGAGATGAAAGGAATGGCGATACCTGGCAGCGCATTTTGACAGCTTCCAATCGCCCACATCAGCGGCAGCGCCCCCTCACATCGCTGGAGGGCGCAAAAGCAAAATCCCCGCACCACAAGAACCCTATCTATCCGTTAGCGTTTTTAGGGTTCCTGATTTTCAAACATCCGGAATATTCGCCGGCATCTATTCAAACCTCTCGGTAAGTCTTCGTTCTCCTTTTGCTTGCGAGCGACGCCACCATCGAAAGATTCAGGCGATTGCGAGCAACGCAAATCAAGTTTTTTTGTGGTGGATTGACTGGTGCTTTCGTGTAAGCTTCTCGCTCGTCATTGCGATTTCCAAAGAGAACGGAGGGCTTTGGGAAACTTGCGAGGACAATTCAAACAATTTGCCCCTGGATAGAGGAAGAAACTCCGGCCTTCACGCAACCTAGCCCTCTGTGATTGCTCGCATCGAGTGCGTTGGTAAAAAGGAAGGTGTGTGGAAGGAGGAAACCCCCAATTTCTACCTGTCTATCTATTTTCTGGGTGGAAGTCATAGGCATAGCCATTTGCCAAAAGATTTGTCAATGTTTGGTTGCATGATTTCGCGCCCTCCAACAATGATTTTGATCCGTGGCAACAATGTAGAGGTGGCAAACTAGAACAAGACTTCTTGCATGCTTTGGAAGCACGCCATTAAACTTCGCTACGAGGCAAATCTTGCGATTGAAAGATATGGAAAAGTTGGCGCCGTCGCAGACGCGCAAAGGGTCTTTGACGGGATCGCCAATCGCAACGAATACTCGTGGACGCTTCTCATGCAGGCTTATGTTCAGAGTGGGCATATTGGCGACGCGATGCGGGTGTTTGAGAAAATGCCGCAGGCTAATGTTGTTGCTTGGAACGGGATAATCGCGGCGTGCAATCGCAACTCTTGGTGCTCGGAGGCGAACGATCTGTTCTCTCAGATGCCGCAAAGGAATGACCTATCGTGGAATAGCATGGTTTTTGCTTATGCCTTCGATGGGCATTTGGATATTTCCATTGAAACTTTCAATAAGATGCCTTCTTGGACTGTTGTTTCTTGGAACTCGCTAATCGCAGGATTAGTACTAGCTTGGAGTTTTGATTACGCTAAGGCAGTTTTTGACGGCATGCCTGAGCGTACTATCGTTTCCTGGGACACTTTACTCTGGGCATATTCCCAGAACCGGCATATTTCCAACACGAAGATTCTTTTTGATCCAATGGCGCAGCATAGTCCCCTCTCGTTCGCAGGAATGGCAATCGCTTGCATCAACGGCGGAGATGCAGCTTCCGCAGATGGAATCTTGTCCGAAATATATCGCTTCTTAGATGCTCCTGCGGGAAACTCTGTCTTAGTAGCATATACCCATCGCTGGGATCTGGACCGAGCAAAATGCCTCTTTGACAGGATGGACGGCCGCGATGTGGCCTCCTGGACGGTGCTGATGCTGGCATATACCCAGTCTGGGCATCTGGAGCACGCAGAGAGAATGTTCGCCGGGATGCCCAAAAGAGATACGGTGGCTTGCAACATTCTTGTGATGGCCTACGCGGCTAATGGAGATTTCTCTCAAGCGATCAGAGTTTTCGAGGATATGAAAGTGAGAGACGCTGTCGCTTGGAACACGATGATCGCTGCTTGCGGCCACTGTGGCGAATCCAACAAGGCCGAGCTCTTCTTCCACAAAATGGCTCGCCACAACACCGTCTCTTGGAACTCGTTGATCGCGGCGTTTGGACAGTGCGGCCACGCTGAAAAATCCGCCGAGCTCTTCCGGAGAATTCCACTCCGCAACGATATGTCGTGGAGAGTCCTCGTTGCCGCGTATGCTCACAACGGGCACTTGTCCGAAGCGGTGGAGTCTCTCCGGGAGATGCTGCTTGATGGCTTGTTACCGGACGAGGCTACTTTCGTGGCCGTTGTCTCGACGTTGGGCCATGCTGGGCGCGTGCTGGATGCTCGGAGGTTGCTTGTCTCGATGGTGTTCGACTTTGGATTGGATTTGTATCTGGAGCACTACGTGTGCATGGTGGACGGGCTCGGGCGGTCCGGAAAAGTGAAAGAGGCCGAGGAACTCATCGCCAACATGCCCTTTCTTGATACTGACATCGTGTGGAAAGCGCTGCTTGCTGCTTGTCGGATTCACACTGACCAGGAGCGAGGAGCTCGTGTCGCACAGCAAGCACTGAGACTGGACAGTTCGGCGCCTGGAGTCTTGTCACAGCTGATTTTTTAAGTCTTAGTTTTCCCTGCAGGAACTATTTCAGCGTGTTTCACGAGAAATGAAAACTCACGTTCTTTCCCTGTGTGTGTTGTTTTGCCAACTGAGATTCACAATCTCGTGGGTCGTGTCAATGACTTCACAAGGACACTGATAAAGAAGAGGTTCCAGCGCTAGCGAGATCGGGCCCGTCTGCATGACCACTTGTCACTGCATTGCTCAAATACAACAAAAGAGTACCTTTTAAAAATCTGGATAACGAGTCTGCCACGGCTGTAGGCTTCTCAACATGTGGTATATGACCGCAGTCGCTGATAATCTCGAGCCGGGAATTGGGGAGATCCACGAGAAATTTCTGAAACGAAAAAAACACCAAAGGAAATAGAAAGTAAAAAGTAAGAAGATAGCGTACCTCGGCATTAAACGTTGGAACAATAGTATCCCGCTCCCCCCATATCAGCAGAGTTTCCTTGTCCACCTACAAACAACACAAACTGTATCAACTGCACTCGGTTTCGATGTAAATGCTGCGCGCACCTCACAACTACAAAGTCATTCGAGAGGCACCTGTGGTATTTGAGAGACGACGTTATAACCTCCACTAATCATGAAATCGACCAAAGCATCGGCCCATCCTGGCATAAGGCAGTGAAGTCTTCCCACCTGGCCGAGAATGAAGTGCTCCTTTTAGCCGTGAGAAAAACTTTGTACTACGTACCCGAATCAAGTCCATCAACGAGCTATAATTCAGGCCTTTGAAAATTAATAAGTTCGCATATGCACGGAGAGGCACACTCTTCAGAACAGCTGCCTGTTCATAAAAGTTGTCGCATAAGATAACTTTAAGGAAGTTGTTTTCTTACCCCTGCGTACAAAAGCGATCTTGGAGAAGTGGTGAGATTTCCCAATCCTTCTGCATAGCCTTGAGCATCAATCAACACCAGCTTAGACACCTGCAAACGAGAGTAAGTTTTTGCATATTTTTCGAGTGTATATAATGTACGCACCATCTCCGGATAAGTTGCAGCAAGCTCGATAGCAACCGCACCTCCCAGGCTCGGGCCAACGACTGTGGCTGGCCTTCGAATATGAGATCTCCAAAACTGAGGAATCAAGCTAGTTCTATATTAACTTTCAATTCGAGAAGCTTACGTCGTATAGATGCCTCGTCTTTGCTTTTGCACCGTATGACGAAATCTTTCTCTCTGGCAGAAAGAAGAAACTTTATCGAAAGTGAAAGAAAGAAAGGAGAAATCCAAAGTGGAAGAGAAAGTTACCCGACGAAGAAAATCCCCAGCCTAGAATATCCACAGCCCAAGGCTCAAGGCCAGCATCTTCAAGCAAGGGAAACGCCCGCCTCCATTCCAGGCAAGAGCTGATCAATCCCGAAAGTGTGAGCGCTAAATCACAAAAGAAATTTACGAGCTAGCTCAATCTTACCTGTCGAAGCCATGCAGGAGCAGCAGTGGACTTGCATTGGATCGAATCACTCCCGGCGTGACACAGCTCGTCAAGATTGGCGAGGCGCTCAGCTCCGTCTGTGAAACTAAAGATTTTCCTCGCGAATTTCCATAGCTTAGAGCGCCTTACCGTCACTGGCAGCCTCTTGATCCTCGACGCCATGATCCGCGCAGCTTGCTCCTTCAAATGCGAGGCCTCCGGGGGCAAGAACGAGGGAAATTTCACCCCCAAGTCAGCCATAGCCGCGTCTCTAGAACCCTAGAAATTTAAAAGCTCTGGAACGCCCCATCCAACCGTTGAAGCTTACTAGAAGGTGAAGCGAGCCGTCCGATGCTTTGTGTGGCCAACGTGACGATCAACGGGCTTGGACGTGCCACATCACGGCTCGAATATATAAACACCAGCAAGAGAGAATGTAGCGCTAGGGTTTTGTTTCAAACGTGAGTGCCACGGCTATGGCGGTGTCCAGATCGGGGGCTCTTGCTTCGTCCCCACCGCCCTTCGCAGGTGCAGATTTTCGATCTGTGGTAGATTCTCTTGCTGATTCGTGACCAGCAGAGCGATTCGAGGTTTTTAGGGCGTGGAAGTCGGTCTTAGAATGCTCGTCTAGGCCATTCCATGGCACGGACGTCGGTAGTCTTGCAGGACGATTCAGGGCAAGTGGTCGGGAGTCCCACATCCACGGCAACGCCTTCCCGATCTCGATGCATCACAGAGACTGTGAATGGATCTCACCATTTCACGATCCATGGCTATTCCCTGGCCAAAGGGATGGGCGTAGGGAAGTACATTGCGAGCGACACATTCACGGTTGGGGGCTACCAGTGGGCGATCTACTTCTATCCGGATGGGAAGAACACCGAGGACAACTCGCTCTACGTGTCGGTGTTCATAGCTCTGGCAAGTGAAGGGACGGATGTGAGGGCGCTGTTCGAGCTGACGCTTCTGGATCAAAGCGGCAAGAACAAGCATAAGATCCACAGCCACTTTGATCGTTCGCTGGAGAGTGGTCCTTACACACTGAAGTATCGAGGCAGTATGTGGTAAGTTTTTTTTTTCTTCTTCCTTGAGTTGCATAGGACTAAAAAATGTTTTGGCTTTGCAGGGGTTACAAGCGCTTCTTCAGACGGGCCGTGCTCGAGACGTCCGATTTTCTGAAAGACGACAGTCTTTCAATCACCTGCACGGTCGGCGTCGTAGTTTCCTCCATGCAAGCCTTGAAGCAACACTCTTTGTTAGTTCCGGAATCCGATATTGGCCAACATTTCCTTTCTTTGTTGGAAAGTGGTGAAGGAACGGACGTTAACTTTAACGTAAAAGGGGAGGCATTCAGTGCTCACAAGTTGTTACTGGCTGCGAGATCCCCAGTGTTCAAAGCGCAGCTGTTTGGACCCATGAAGGACGAGAATGGTGACGTGATCGAAATCGACGACATGGAACCACCTGTCTTCAAGGTAAAGAGCTTCTTTTATACACACTAACTGTTTCTCATGCAACTTTTCGTCCTCTTTGTTTGATAGGCCATGCTACACTTTATATATAAAGACAGTCTGCCCGATACCAACGAGATGACAGGATCTTCGTCACAGTCGACCGCGACGATGATGGCTCAGCATTTACTCGCAGCGGCAGATAGGTTTTGCCTGGATCGTTTAAGACTTTTGTGCGAGTCCAGGCTCTGTGAACAGATCACTGTTGACACAGTGGCGACTACGCTTGCGTTGGCAGACCAACACCATGCATCTCAGCTCAAAAATGTCTGCCTCAAGTTCGCTGCTTCCAACCTTGCAGGTCTGGCGCCTCAGTTAAGCTTTGCAATGTGTAGCGTGTTGTCTAACTCGGGAGGCTGGTTTGTTTTGTTTTTTGACAGTGGTGATGCAGTCTGATGGTTTTGAGTACCTGCGTGAGAGCTGCCCGTCATTACAATCCGAGCTCCTCAAGACGGTCGCGGGAGTAGAAGAAGAAGCCAAGGCTGGAACAAAGAACAGGACCGTCTGGACGCACGTCGCAGATGGTGGCGACGGATTGGGAAGGCGCGTGCGGCAAAAGATCTGACGCTACCCACCGGCGGCGTCAGTGAAGATGTTTCAAGGCTCTCTTTAGTGATGGAAGCTCGCCCAAGACCTGTCTACGAGAAAACCTCCGGTCAGTACACATTGAGTTTCCATTTTGTGAGATTTCAATGTGCTGATCACTAGGACAAAGGTTGCTGTGTCGTTGTATGATACAGATTTATAAAGGGTCTCCCTTGATGCAATTCTCCAAAGCGTACCAAGAGCCGCTCGACGATACTGTGGTGTGGCTGGAAAGGAAGAAGTGGGTCGACTCTGCGGTTTACTCGGATCTCCTCAGGAAGTGTGGAAGCTCGAGATCACTGACGCTTGGGATACGTGTTGATGCACATATCATCCAGTGTGGACGTGATCGAGAGACTTACATCGGGAACTATCTCATCGAGATGTATGGGAAGTGTGGCAAGGTTGACGAGGCACGCAGGGTGTTTGAGGCCATCCTCGACCGCAACGTTTTCTCCTGGAACTTGATGATCGCGGCGTATGCCCGGCATGGGCATAGCAGGGACGCCTGGGAGGTGTTCCGGAGGATAGACTTGGAGGGTGTGAAGCCGAGCAGGGTCACCTTCTTGGGTGTGCTGGATTCGTGTAGTGGTGCCAGGGGCCTGGCAGCGGGACTGGAGATCCATGCCAGGATGGTGGAGGGGGGATTTGAGTCGGACGTGGTGGCTTGCACTGCTCTATTGAATATGTACGGGAGGTGTTCGGGGGATGCAAGAGCTGCTCGAGCGGTTTTTGATGGTATGGAGGTCCGGGACTTGGTTTCGTGGAATGCCATCGTGGTTGTCTACTCTCAGAAGGCACAGTGTGAGGAGGCAGTGAAACTCTACCGGCAGATGCTGCTCCAAGGTGTGCAGCCCGACGAGTTTGTGTTCAGCAGTGTCATCTTCGCATGCTCGGATCCGAAACTGGCCGCTGAGGGGTCGAGCGTTCATCGAAATGTGATGGAAAGTGGACTCGAGTCTCACGTCGTCGTCGGTAACGCACTGCTTCACATGTATGGGAAGCATGGGAACTTCGGGGCTGCAAGGCGGGTTTTTGACAGGATAGAGAACAGGGACGTCATATCTTGGACTGCGATGATCGTTGCTTATTCCCATTCTGGTCAGGGTCGGGCCGCCTTGGAGGTTTTGGAGATCATGCGAGCGCAGAGAGTGAAGCTGGACAGAGTTGGATACACAAGCGTCATTGATACGTGCACGAGCCTTGGAGCTCTGGAAGAAGGCAGGCGTATTCACTCGCAAATCGCGAAGCAGGGATTGGAAACCGACGTTGCGGTGGGAAGTGCGTTGGTGAACATGTATGGGAAGTGTGGTGACTTGGAAGATGCGAGAGCTGTGTTTGCGGGAATCGAAGGGAAGGATAGGTGCGCTTGGACGTCGATGCTTGGGGCGTATGCGCAACATGGTGACGGAGACAGAGCGTTCCAAGTCTTTCAAACCATGGACTTGGAAGGAGAGAAGTCCGATCCTATCACTCTGATATCGGTGCTTAGCGTTTGCTCCGACAAGTCCTCGGCCTTGTCACAAGGAAAGGCAATTCACTCGAGCATCTCCGGCAGCGGGCTCGAACTGGACGGCCTCGTAGCTACTGCTCTCATCGATATGTATGCGACATGTGGGAGCTTGCGAACTGCTCGAGACTTCTTCGACGCTATCCAGGCCAAAGGCGACGTAGTGCTGTGGAGTGCTATAATCTCCGGCTACTCACAGCATGGAGACTGGGAAGAGAGCACAACACTCTTCCGGCTGATGCAGCTAGAAGGACTGGAGCCGGACAACAGGACGATCACAAGCGTCTTATCAGCATTTAGCCACGGTGGTCTCGTCGATCAAGCGACCGAGTGGTTTGGAACAATGGTGGAAGCTTGCGACATGAAGCCAGCAATCGACCACTATATGTGCCTGATCGATCTGCTGGGAAGAGCTGGATGTTTGGAGGCCGCGGAGCTCGTGATGAAGAGAATGCCTTGTAAGGCTGATACGGTGGCTTGGACGACGTTACTTGGCTCGTGTACCACTCACGGAGATGTTCACAGAGGTGCTCGAGCAGCCGGACAGATGCGAGATGACTCTGGAGCTTATGTTTCACTGCGAAACATCTGCATCGAGCAGAGCCAAGCGAGAAGAAGCTAGCAGGATTCCTCGCCACGTTTTGGGATCTCTGGTCGGTCAAGAGTTCGTCATCGTCTCGGAGATCCTGATGGAGCCTACAGGCGCTCAAGACAGTGGTGAAGGTGACGCATTTTGAGGAGAAGGGCTTCCAGCTTCCCAGTTCTTGCGAGAAGATCGATCACGCACGCACATATCCAGCTCCTGCATCACTCCATGATCTTGCTCCATCCCAGCGAGGATCTTGGCTCTACCAGGCAGACGAGTGAGCCTTGATCATACTCGTCCACATCTCCCCGCAAGCTACTTAGCCCCGTCTCTACGATTGGATCCGGGGTCTGGACTGGTGGATTGCTCGTCCCTGGGAGAGCGAGCAGCAGGAATCCAGAGCGCTGGCCACCGCAGCGCTGTCCAAGCCAATATCTTCCAAGTTGAGGCTGTGGAAGAGATGAGGCTCCATGGACTAGAAGTCTTCCAGGCCGCCATGCTTGCCGTAGACGTGGAGGACGTTGTGGATGGCTTCGTCGGGCTGGACGCGGCTGGAGTGGAACAGACCATAGAGCTCTCGAGTCTCTGGCAACTCTGGAAAGCGGTGGCGAAGTTAAAGACGTCGTGCTTGAAGCCGTGGAGCTGCTGCGCGAAGAGATGGAGATGCCCGGCTCGGCTGCGAGCATGAGGTTCCAGGAGAAGAGGCTGGCATTGGTTGGGAGGAAAGTGTTGGGATTGGCCTCGGCGGCGATGAGCGAGTGCTTATTTGGATGTCCTCACCAGTGGGAGAAGAATCACTCACTTATGGTACTTCCTCCATTTGTGCTCCTGGAATCTATAAACTTTTTCTACAGTGGTGAGGGTCATGAGCTGAAATTCAGATGTGCTTCTGGAACTGGACGTCCGTTCTTTCTCTGCTGGAGTGATATACAAAATCCTACGCCTCAAACAGTCAGCCATGAAGCAACTCAAGAAAACTCATGGTTCGATCTTCTAAAGCTTGCTAACACGTCCAAGTTGCCGGTACATATACTATTAGTCTAGCACTTCGATTGAGATGCCTTGATGAAGTCTCTAGCTACTCAGGATATGAATAATACTGTTAAACTGCCTGGCTATTTAAAATTTAAGACCAACTATCACCATTCAGATATGGGAGAAAGCTCTTCAGTTCTTTGCACCATCCTCTGAAATTTGCCGACTAGCGGTCAATCCTGGCGTCACCACTGTCATTGAGCGTTCTGTTACTTCCTGGATCGAGGAGAGAGATGGAGACCTTATGCTTCGAGCGCCAGAGTGTGATCACATCAACGGGGAAGTCGTCAATTGCCATAGCTTTGTGTTGGTAACTTTGAAGCTCGTTTTGAACGATTTATCTGATTGATTTTATTATCTTGCCTATAGAAGAGCCGCTCTCCCGTGTTGCGTAGGATGCTGGACGAAGTTCCTCCACAAGATGGTGTTTTCTTGGGCAAAGGGTGTATCTCCCACTTCGTGAACTTCCTTTACAGGGGCCGTTTCGTGGACTCGCATAAGCTCGCACTCGGGCAGCTTGAAATGCTCTTGCACGCTGGTATGTTTGTGCGATATTAAGGTATGTGGCTCCAAGGTTTGTTGCTCCAAAGTGTTGTTCACATTGCAGCTACTTGTGGGAGATTCTATTCATGGCAGCTGCAGTGGAAGCGATTCTAAGAATGAAGTCTAGTGAACGAGAAAGCAAAACTAGTCAAGCATCTCAAGACAATTGCTTGCATCAAGCCTTGCGCATAATACTTGAGGCAGTCCACAATGAGCATGGTTGTAAAATGCTTCGCCAGTTATGATGAAAGTGCAGCTGGTTCAAACCCCATCATGCAGGCACCTTAGGTCAAGAAACTGCTCGTTAAGATTATATTCATTAATACACTCTAGAATTTGCAAAATATATATCATATCTGTAAGAGACAATCAAGAGACGTCCTTGGTGGTGAATCCCCCCGATGGATTGAAGCTCATCTTCACCAATCACAACAAGCTCGTCCGTGGCTCCTGGCCCAGCTCCATCAGGAAGCTCGTCGGGGAGCGATCGCTCTTCTTCATGGAGAGGTCTTCCGAATGTTTTAAAAGTATTCTAGCATATTCGATCTTAGTGAAGACAAATATTTCCTTCAATTGACAATGATTTAAGGGTTCCATGTTTTCCGTGAAGGATCGCTCGCGTTTCACGGATGTGGCTGTCTTCTCGAAAGATAAAGACACATCCTGCCGCGCTCACAAGCTCGTGCTCGTGGACCGCTCTCCACAGATTGCAGCGCATCTCACTGATGATACTTTCTCCATTCAACTCGAGGTGCCCGCCACTGTGCTCCAGCAATTTCTAGATTTTTTCTACACTGGTAAGTGTCGCGTTTACTTGTTACTGACGAGCATCATCTATTGAAATTCAGAGAAACTCGTGGAACTGGACGTGCATTCTCTGTTAGCTATATTCTCCGCTGGAGTGATATACAAAATCCCAGGCCTCCAACAGGCAGCAGTGAACCAACTCAAGGGAACTCATGGCTTGAACTGGCTCGATCTTCTAAAGCTTGCTAACGCGTCCAAGCTGAAGGTACATATGCTAAACAAAACTAGCACTTTGATTGATCCATCCATGATCAGGCCTTGATGAACGAGATTACTTTTCGAGCTGCTCGGGAGATGAACCATAACGTTGCACTGCCTGGCTATTCAAAGTTTAAGACCGACTACCCACTGCTAACAATTCGGATGTGGGAGAAATCTCTTGAGTTTTTTACACAGCCCTCCATGGATTATTGCCGATCACCTGCGCCACCTGGCGTCGCCGTCGCCACGGACGTTGTTACTTCCTGGATCGAGAAGAAAGATGGAGACCTTATGCTTCAGGCCACCGCACAGCCACCAGATTGTGATCACATCGACGGGGAAGTCGTCAATTGCCATAGCTTTGTGCTGGTAACAACTTTGAAGCTCGTTTTATCTGATTGATTCCATTGTTTTGCCTTGCAGAAGAGCCGCTCTCCCGTGTTGCGGAGGATGCTGGACGAAGTTCCTCCAAAAGATGGCGTTTTCTACATTGCTATGGGCAAAGGGATAATCTCTCACTTTGTGAACTTTCTTTACACGGGCCGTTTCGTGGACTCACACAAGTTCGCACTCGAGAAGCTGGAAAGGCTCTTGCACGTTGGTAAGTGTCGTGGCTCCAGGGTTTCTTGCGCCAACTTCTTGTTTCCAATGCAGCTGCTCTGTGGGAGATTCCATTCATGACAGCTGCAGTGGAAACGATTCTATGCGCAAGGCTCAATGCAAGCAATTGCTTTGAGATGCTTGACTATCCCCTTTCAGAGGTTTGCTTTGCTTTCTCGTTCACTTCACTTCATCCTTATTTCTGGTGGCAGTCCACAATGGCCACGGTTTTAAATCGCTGCGCCAGGACCATCAACCATTATGGCTTTTTGCAAAGTGAGAAATACGTGCAGCTGGTTCAAAGTCAACCGCAAAATCTCCTCCGAGTGTACGAAACGTTCAGCAGCCCGAAGCACTAGAATAGAATTTTCAGCAATTTATAGATTTTTTCTACATTGGTACGTGTTGGTTTTCTTGTTACTGACGAGATCGTCTACTGAAATTCAGAAAAACTCGTGGAACTCGACGTCCATTCTTTGATACCTTACTAATGTACCAAGTCCCACGCCTCGAACGGTCAGCCATGAAGAAAGCCTTTCAGTCTTTGGCAACACCAGCCATTGATTATGAGGGACCACTACGGGTCATTCCTCCGCCACCCCCGCCCACCCTCCTGGATATACTTCAGGCGGAATGTGTTGGGAAGTCGTCAATTGCCATAGTTTTGTGTTGGTAACAAATTCGAATCTCGTTTGAAGGACTCATCTGATCGATTCTAGTGTCTTGCCTTATATAAGAGCCGCTCTTCCGTGTTACGGAGGATGCTGGACGAAGTTCCTTCAAAAGATGGCGTTTTCTACATTGCTCTGGGCAAAGCGATAATCTCCCACTTTGTGAACTTTCTTTACATGGGCCGTTTCATGGACTCTGATAAGCTCTCAATCGAGCAGCTTGAAATGCTTTTGCACGCTCGTGCCTCCAAGGTTTTTGCACCAATTTGTTGTTTATGCTCTGTGGGAGATTCCATTCATGGCAGCTGCAGTGGAAGCGATTCTATGCGCAAGGCTCGATGCAAGAAATTGCTTTGAAATGCTTGATTATCCCCTAGGTTTGTTTTGCTTTCTTCACTTCACTTGTAACTTGAGGCAGGCCACGGTTTTAAATCGTTGCGCTAGGAGCATCAATTTGCAAAGTGAGCAATACAGCTAGTTCAAACCCATCCCAAAAAACTCATCCGAGTGTATGAAACGTTCACGAGGTCAAGAAATGGTGGCCTGCGCCTTTCACCTCGTCAACTTTTTATATTTAAGTTATAGTTCTTCTATAGTGTATGTAGAAAATCTAAGATGTATGTACAATGTAGTTTTCTTAAACATTGTAGTTTTCTTCGCAACAAAGGTCTAGGCCTAGGCCGGTGTACAAGTTTGACGTTTTGGGTGGTGGCTCTTTTTCTCCTGCTTGTGCAGCTCAATCACTGACAAGTAGTCGACAGTGAGCACCACTCGCGGCGGAGTAAAACCGGCGGCCTTGGCGAGCGCCTCCAGATCTTGCAGGCTTCGCTCCTTGCCTCCCGGGCAGCAGGATAGCATCAGCAAATCCATGGCCAATACGTGACGAGATCCCAAGTCGTATTCCACGCCGCTGGGCAGCACGGCATCCACGATGACGAGCTTGCCATGGCTGGCCAGCGATTTGTGACAGTTCCCAAGGATCTTAAGGCAGTCGTCGTCGCTCCAGTCGTGAAGAACCAGCTAAAAGAAAGAAAAGCTCGCAGGCTGACTAAAGCGAAAGAGCAAGGAAGTCGTTCTTACTTTGATCAAGAACGTATCTCCTTGTGGGATCTCGTCAAACATGTCCCCGGCGACGTGCTTCACACCTATAGGTAGAACACACAAACTTTCCTTCTTAGGCCAAAGAGGATAAAATCTCCCCAAAAGTTCTAAGATCGCGGAGGATAGTTCCTAGCATAGCGAGATATTCTACCAGGCAAAGGAAGAACGAGATCAAGGGAACTTACCAGCGAGCTCTGGAGCTCGGGCTATAACGTGGGGAAGATCGAAGTTAATCGCGTGCTGGATGCTGGGATGCGCGGCCAGAATGTCGCGCAGCGCGACGCCGACACCCCCGCCGACGTCCACGATCGTGCCGGCACTGGCGAATCCCCGGTACTCGTCCAGGATCGCGGGCAGGAAGATCATCGAGTGATCGCACATTGCCGACGTGAAGAGGCGATCCAGCCGATCGCTGCGCGACGCGAGCTGGAAGAAATGCTCGCCGCCGTGCGCGAGCGAGAATGGACTGGTCTGCCCGCCGCTCAGCACGGCATCGGCCAAGAACTGCCACGGCCGCATCAAGATCTCGTCGTGGTTGAGGGAGATCCACGGCGCCAGTGACGCGCCACGATCGTCCTTGAGGAGGAAGCGGCAGAGATTGGTGAGGCCGTAGCGCCGGATGGCCGCCGGGGCAGGATCATCGCGCTCGACGTCCTCGCGAAATATCCCCCTGCTCGCAAGAACCCTTAGAATGCGATTCAAGACAATGCCGCCCAACGCCGGGCTCTGGCATCCGGGGATCCTCGCCACGATCTCCGCCGCCGAGAGCATCGCGTCGCATCCCGCGCTGGCAATGATCTGGAACACGTCCAGCCGGATCGCGGCAGTGAGCGCCATGGGGACGTTGCACAGCAGCCCCAGCTCCATGATTCGCTGCCGATCCTCGTCGTGGATAGTCCGTGGCGCCGGCCAGATCGAATCGCGCGAGGCCATTGGCATGGAGAGAGTCTGAGGGAGGAGGAGAAGAAGTGGGTTTTCTTCTAGCAGAGAAGGAGGCAAGTAGCATCGATTCTTCTTCACCGTCGCTATCATCTGACCCAGAGGCGGGCTGTGTGAAAACTCCACATGGATTGGCTTGGAGCTGGCACTTTTTACTTAAAAAATGGTGAGTATTGTTTTAAAATATAAAAATACAATCTAAATAATCATTTATCTTTGTCTTTTATATTAATCTTACCACCATTTTGCTTCTTTTTATTACTCGCAATTATCATCTAAAGGATGGACTGTTATGAGCTATTTGCTGCAGGACTAATCTGTTTTTTGGAGCTTAGTATCAATATTTACTATTGGATCTTTATTAACTTGGATATCTAGTATATTTGTAAGTTTATTATTTAGATTAAGTTTGTGTTTAAAAAGTATAAATATAGATGTTTGAAATATGTTTTTAATGTTTATAATATTATCAATTTACTGTTTATACCATCTATC